GACTTTGTAAGCCGCTTTGAGACTCCGATTGAAGGGCAGGGCATAAATCCAATCTCTCCTTCTTCTGCACGTGTGACTGACCAAGGAACGTTCTGCCTGCATAGCAGGTACTTTTCCACTGCGCTTCCAATGTGTACCACTTTCTTTTCCCTAGCGCATTGGGATCGTCTGGCCCTAGAGAATGTTCATGCTGGAGATTTGGCTAATCAGTAAACACTGCAGTACTTTCGGGATCAGACTTGTTTTTATTCTACCCAAGAACTCAGAGCGGCTTATTCAGCTGTCCCCTCGTCTGTCTAATTCTCACAGCAATCCTGCTAGGTACATAAGAACATAAGGGAAACCAATGTTGGATCAGGCCAAAGGCCCATCCACTCCAACACTCTGGGTCACACAGTGGCCAGAAATACCAGGTGCCCTCAGGAGGTCCAGCAGTGGGGCCAGGACACCAGAAGCCCTCCCACTGCTGCCCCTCCCCAAGCACCAAGAATACAGAGGTGACACAGGGTGGTGTGCAGAGGCACAAATACCTCCCCCTGCCAAAGAAGAAGAAGAGGAGGAGGAAGAGGAGGGGGAGGAGGAGACTGGATTTATACCCCGCCCTTCACTACCCAACGGAGTCTCAGAGCGGCTTATGAACTCCTTTCCCTTCCCCTCCCCACAACAGATACACCCAGTGAGCACTGCTTCCTCTAAGCTATGGAGTCTTGTGAACAAAAATTCCACTTTGTGAGCTACTGGCCTTAAAGTTGTGAGCGAGCGATTGGGCTACTGCAGACATTAGTTTGCTCTGGAGCCATCCTTCCCGAGCTAAGAAAAAAACGTGTGAGCCGGAGGCTAAAAAAACCTGTGAGCTAGCTCACACTAACTCAGCTTAGAGGGAACGCTGCCTGTGAGGTAGGTGGGGGGCTGAGAGAGCGCAGAGAGAACCCTCCTTGCGAGAACAGCTCTGACAGAACCGTGACTTGCCCAAGGTCATCCAGCCAGGTGCAAGCGGCGGAGTGGGGAATCAAACCCGGTTCTCCCAGATTAGAGTCCACGCTCCTAACCACTACACCAGACTGACAGAGCCACACGAGGAAAGAGCAGTGAGAGAAAAATCACACAAACACGGGTCGAAGCTGTAGAGAAGAGCAAGAGTCCAGGAGCGCCTTGAAGCCTGACCGGGGAAGTGCCTTCGTGAGTCACTGCTCGCTTCTTCAGATACAGCTGGAACAGGAGTCCATCTGTCCTTATCTCTTGGAGAGCGAAGTGATTTCAGACGCCGAATGACATTAGCGGGCAAAGGACAACAGCAGGCGAACGACAACAGCCGGCGTGATTGGATTAGGTGCTGGAAGCTGCCCCTGAAACAATGTTATTTTAGTCTTGCATAGTCAATCGGATCTTCGGCGACATATCAGATGCCCTACGGGGCAAAAAGCCCACTTACTTTCTAAAAGCACTTCGTGGGCACCAGGGAAGGCATTGCTGGCTGCCCACGCTCTAAGCGATAGAACAGTATCATCATGCCCCTGTATAAATAGAGGGATACTGGGTACAGTTCTGGTCACCACACCTCAGAAAGGATATTATAGCATTGGAAAAAGTGCAATGTGGTTCAAGGTGGCCAAGTGCAAAGTGATGCACATTGGAGCCAAAAACCCTAAATATAAATACAGAGACTGACCAAGAGAGAGATCTTGGAGTCATAGTAGATAACTCACTGAAAATGTCGAGACAGTGCGTGACTGCAATTTTAAAAAGGCCAACGCTATGCTGGGGATTGTTAGGAAGGGAATTGAAAACAAATCAGCCAGTATCATCATGCCCCTGAATAAATCAATGGTGCGACCTCATTTGGAGTACTGTGTACAGTTCTGGTCACCACACCTCAAAAAGGATATTATAGCATTGGAAAAAGTGCAGAAAAAGGCAACTAGAATGATAAAAGGGTTGGAACACTTTCCCTATGAAGAAAGGTTAAAACACTTGGGGCTCTTTAGCTTGGAGAAACGACGGCTGAGGGGTGACATGATCGAGG